TGGTGAGGGAGGCAGGCTGGGGTGAGGCGGGAAGGGCAGCAAACCGCACAGATCAGCAGCAAGCGGCCAGTCCCCCTGCCAGTTGCACACCAGAGCCGCAGAGCGCTGAACAGGTGGCCAGCAGGCGATAATGGCTACATGCATGGCTATGTTGGCATGCGTGTGGCCAGCTGGCAGGCCCCGCAGCCAGACCCGCGCGCACCAGGTATGGGAGGGAGGCCACCACTCGGTCGGGGATGTCTGGTCCGCTATTGCGATACGAGGCCTGCGCCGCCACATGGCGCCTGCCCGCAGCAGGCTGCAGGGTGCGGTGGGCCGGCAGCCGCGCACCGCGCAGCACAGTGCTGCTGCCGCCCAGCGGCGGGCGGGCGGGCGGCGGCGGCGGCGCCGCCCGTGCTGCCGTGCGACAGCCTGCGGTCGGCGGCCTGCGCAGGGCCGGGAATTGCGCCCTGGTGGCGTTGCAGACTGCTTGGGCGGCCATGGCAGACTCTCCTACGCTGGGCAGAACTTTCACTTGGGCGATCAGCGTCGAGAGCCGGCACGGGGCTTTAGGAAACGTGATGTGGCCTTTCAGCAGCGGATTGCAATGGCAGGGGACGGGAATGGGTGGGACGATGGAGGTCAAGGAGGCGCTGCACTGCGTGCTGAGGCCAGCCAAGGAGAGAACGCACCCAGACGGGCCGCAGCGTTCTGGATCGTCAAGGGACAGGGTTGGTCTGCTCGAGGACCGGTCCCTGCCCCCGCGGGTTTGTTGTTTTGAGTTTTTGTCAAAAACTCTCTTTGCACCTAGCCTCTGCCCCTGGCTGGCACCAGGACGCCGGAACACCACCATGGCAACCTCAACGGGCTTCCGTCCCTTGAAGCGGCAGCGAGTGGAGTGAGTGCCCAGCTCAAAAGCGATCGCCGGCTCCTCCCCGACTGCTTCCGCCCGCTGACGCTTCGATGTCGCCTCCCCTTCCCTGCAGCGCCTACCCGACTGGCTCGGTGATGCGGGTCGAGGTGTCAAACTTCATGGTGCGCCGCCCCGCCGCCCCCCGTCCAGCCCGTGCTCCCACGCTGTTGCCTTGGGCCCTCCTGCAGCAAACCAGCCGCCCTGATTGCCGCAGACCTACAAGCGCGCCACGGTGGAGCCAGGTCCCAAACTGAACCTGGTGCTGGGCCCAAACGGTGCGCCGCCGGCGGGCCTGCACCCATCCGCGCGCCACCGCGGAATGCAACGCCGGCGGCACGGCCTCTCTCCCAGCCCCCGCTTGCTTGCCTTGCCCGCCACAGCCTCCAACATTTGCCACCTCCTGCACCCACGACCGCTCTCCTCCTGCGCAGGCACCGGCAAGTCTTCCCTGGTGTGCGCCATCTGCGTGGGGCTGGCAGGCAGGACCTCGCTGCTGGGGCGGGCAGAGGATGTGTCGTCGTTTGTGCGGCGCGGCGCCTCGGCGGGCTGGGTGGAGATCACGCTGAGCAGCGGCAACCCCATGCGGCCGCACGTGGTGAGCTGCTGCAGCGGCTGCAGCCGCTGCAGCTGCTGCTGCTGGCGAGGGCTGAGGCAGGGGCGCAGCCTTCAAGCCCACCCCCCTTGTCCTTGCCTCCTGCTTCCTGCACCCACCCGGCTCGCCACGCACTCCCCAGCATCACCCAAGCGCCTCACTGCGCTTCCACCCGCCTCTCCTCTCGATCTTGCTTTTCTTCCTCCTACTCCCTCCTTGGCTCCCCCCTCGTCTCCCCTCCTTACCTCCTTCCTCCCTCCTTCCCTCCTCCCTCCCTCCTTTCCTCCGTGCCCCCTCCCCTCCTTTCCCCACTCGCCCAGGTGCGGCGCGAGATGCACCGCGACACCAACTCATCTGAGTGGTACATCAACCGGGAGAAGGTGCGCATGAAGGACGTGGAGGAGCTGGTACGGGACAAGCTCAAGGTGCAGCTGGACAACCTGTGCCAGGTGAGGGCACGCCCTGCTCTCCCGCCTCGATTTTGGCTCAGTATGAGTTGGGTGGGAGGGGTGGTGATGTATGAGGGGCATGGGGGCTTGCAGTGGCGGGTTGGGCATAATGGGGAGGAGGCGCGGGCTGGGCTGGGCTGGGAAGTAGTTTTTGTGTGTGCATGTGTGTAGTGGTGGGGATCATTCCAGCAGTTGGACCCATTCCCACACATGCCAGGCCCACACATGCGCCACCTCACCACCTTGCCGCCGTCCCTCCCGCCCCTGCAGTTCCTGCCCCAGGACAAGGTGGTTGAGTTTGCGCGCATGACGCCCAAGGACCTGCTGGAAGCCACGGAGAAGGTGCGGCACGCCGCACTGTGGTCACGCCGTGGCGCAGCTCCCTGCTGGCGCAGCTCCCTGCGCTCGTCGGCCCTCTGCCCTCTGCCCCATCGCTGGCTGCTGACTTCCCCTTCGTCGATCCCTGAACGCTGGGCCCTGAACGCTCTGAGCCCTGAGCGCTCAACGCCTGCCTGTTCTGCGCCAATGCAGGCCATCGGCAACGGCGAGCTGTACGAGCAGCACTCGCAGCTGATCAAAGTGCGGCGGGAGCTGGCTGGGCACGACCAGGTGGGCGGCTGGCAGCGAGAGATGGGCCCCCCCCTGCCCCGGCAGCCGGTGCAGGCTCCGCCTGCATCGCTGCAGTGCATCTGCCCTGCCTAGAGGGTTTGCGGCGGCCGCGCGCCGGGCCCGGCAGCACACGCTACTCCCTTGCCCCGCCCACCTGCCGCTCGCACCCTGCACGCGGCACCACCATTTTCACCCCGCGCCGCCTCCTCGCCGCCCGCAGCACAAGGCGGCACTGGATGAGAGCGTGGCGCAGCTGAAGGCCGACAACAGCCGCAGCACGCGGGACGTGCAGAACATCCAGCGCAGGCAGCAGCTGATGGAGGAGGTGGAGCTGGCCCGGCAGAAGCTGCCCTGGGTGGTGTTTGAGGGGCGGCGCAAGGCGTGGGAGAAGGACAAAGAGGTGGGGGGGTAGGCTGCTGCTGCTGCTGCCGCCGCGCTGCCAGTTGCGCCGGTGTGTGGCTAGCGTGTGTCTGCTGCCACTGCCATCGCCGCTTGCGCCACTGTGGCTGCTGGCTGGGTTTGCTGGTGGGGGTGGTGGAGAGGGGCAGGCTGGGGCTTGGCCCGGCCGTGCAGAAGGCTGCCGGGCCGTGGTGCGGGCAGCAGGGGAGAGCGGAGGAGTGTGTGTTGGCGGGTTTGATCTGTAGAGCCAACCCTTATTGCGCCACACGGCCTCGCCTTAGTCCCCCTCTTTCTCCCGCCGCCGCCTCCCTTCAGCTGCGGGACAGCGCCAAGCGGCGGCTGCAGGAGCGGCAGCAGGCGCAGCAGGGGGACGAGGGCCCGCTGGCGGCGCGGCAGCAGCTGCTGGAGCGGCTGAGGGCCAAGAAGAAGGTGCTGGATGCGGAGCTGAAGGAAGCTGACCAGAAGCTGGCGGGCGGTCCCGCAGCGCGCGGCAGGGACCCGCAGCCGGGCCTGGAGGATGAGATGAATGCGGCGGTCCGTGCTGGGGGCGGCGCAGGCCGGGAGGCAGCGTGCGGGAGAGCGAGCCCGCAGCACGCGCCTGGGCAGGCGGCTGACTTCTGGGGGCCCGCTGCGCTGCGTGTGCTGACCGATAGCCCACTGCGGGCACACCTGCCTGCCCCACTGTACCTGTGCATGCGCACGAGGCATACGCTCAATGTGCATGTGCATGTGTGCTGTGTGCCTGCCTGCCTGCTGTGTGCAGCTGGAGGAGATCACAGCCAAGCAGGCAGAGATACAGGGCCTGGCCACGGCGGCCGCCGCCCGCGAGCGCAAGGTTGCGGAGCTGGAGGCGGCGCTGGCGGGGCTGGAGGAGGCGGTGGCGGGGCTGCCGCCGCTGGGCGACACGGGAGAGCTGGGGGCGCAGCGGCAGCAGCTGCAGAAGGAGAGCCACGACATCGCCATGCAGGCCAGTGCCCCGCTCCTGGTATCCCCCGCGCCTGCTGCTGCTGCCGTGGTTACTGCTGCGCGGGGCGAGCGGGCGATGGCCAGCCGGGCGGCGCAAGGGCCTCGCCGGGAGCCTGCAGGCTTGCGCCGCTGGCAAGGATGCCGTGCCTGTGCCGATCCTCGACGCCCGCCGGGCCCGCGTCACACACTCACCACCACCACCGCCACCCCCGACACACACTGCCTCCCGCGCCCCTGCCCCCTTCCTAGCAGGTCTCCAGTCTCAACATGCAGGTGGAGGAGCTGCAGGGCAGCCTGGAGGCGGTGCAGCGGCGGCGCCGGCTGGCCGAGGACAAGCTGCGCCGCATCGACGATTCCAAGATGAGGCGCCTGCAGGTGGGCTGTGTGTGCGTGTGGTGTGTTGTGGGGTGAGCTGGGTGGCTTGCTGTGGTCGCTTGTTGTGAAGTGGAGTGCAGTTGGGGAAGCCGGCCCACTGCTGTCGCTCTCGCTGCCCCGCTACCACCCGTGCCCAGCCCCTGGCCTGGGCCCATCCCCCGCGCCCTCACACCACAGACACCAGCACGTGCTTACTCACACAGAATCTGTACCGCAGGCCCTGGACCAGCGGTACCGTGGCATCGCCGCCGTCTGGCGGTACCTGCAGGCCAACAGGGCGCGGTTCAAGTACCCCGTGTATGGCCCCATCGCTCTTGAGGTGGAGTGCCCTGATCCGCTGCACGTGAGGTGCCTGGAGCAGCAGGTGGCAGGTGAGGGCTGGCCGCCTGCTCGGCGGCCAAAAGCATGGATGAGAGCCGCTGCAGGGGCACGGCGGGGGCATGACACGCTGGGATACCGGCTCTGGTGCTGAACCAGTATGTTTTCGGGTTTGGTTTAGTTACGGGCGCTGGCCTGGGGCGCGGCGCGGCGCTGTGGGGCAGCCCATGCAGTCTGGCTGACCCACACTCGCACCCGCTCCCGCACCTGGGCACACCCAGACGCCCTGCCTGCGCCTGACCGCACCTGACCGCACCTGCGTGCCTTCCTGCGCACCTGCCTGTGCAGCCAACGTGTGGTCTTTCTTCGTCACCCAGCACAAAGACGACCACGACTTGCTGGAGGAAGAGTGCAAGCGGTTCAAGTGAGGCGCTCGGCCGCCTGCCCAGCAGCCAGGTGCTAGAAGCCAGATGTCCTGTGGCCTTCCCACGAGCAGCTGCAGCGCTGGGCACGACAGCTGCTGAGCTGCCCAGCTGAGCTGGAGGGGCCCTGCCTGAATGCCCAGCCGTGCCCCCCACCTCCACCCACCCCCCACCCTGCCCCTCTGCACACCCGCAGCTTCCGCCCCTCCGTCGCCTGCTACAAAGGGGACCCTCATGAGCCAATCCGCCACCCTCGCGGCGAGGCCTCTGAGTACGCGCGGTGAGCTGGAGGGCGCCGGAGCATCCGTTCCTGGATGGGTGCATGCCTGGGTGGAAGGGGTTGAGGGTCCCCTTTCAGGACAGTGTCAGATCTTCGTGTGCGGCGTGTGCGGGCGCTCGGCCCAGCCGCTCGCTGCACCTGCTCGATGACTGGCCATGTGCCAGCCAGATCCCATGGTGCGCCACCGCGCCCGCTTACCTGCACCGCCGCGCTCACCGTACCCTGCACGGCACCGCCCGGTACCGCCCCGCCCCGCCCCGCAGCTACGGCATCTCCCAGACCCTGGACTGCGTGTTTGTGGCGCCCCCCGTGGTCAAGCGTGTGCTGTGTGATGAGGCCCGCATCCACGAGGCGTATGTGGGGGATCGAGGCACGCGGGTAGAGGAGCTGTTCCGCGACCACGACCGCCTGCAGCAGGTCTACACGCCAGACTGCTCCTACAGGCGCGCGGTGGTTGGCGGCGGCGGGGTGGCAGCTGTGTCGGGCTGCCGTTGTGCTTGGGGCTCTGGTTTCTGTGGATTCTTGTCTGCTTTGGGTTGGCTGGGTGCCCGCTCATGTTTGGTGTTTTGCTCGTCATCACACCTCCAAGCCTTGCTGTTCACTGTCTGCCCAGCCAACCCAACCCGAGCGCTGTGCCCTCCCCTGCCACCCACCCCGCCCCGCCGTGTGCTGCCCGCAGGCGCACGCGCAGCGCGTACAACAGCACCGCCGAGTCGACGCTGGTTGGCGACCTGCGCCCGGCGCGCCTGCTGTCGGGGGCAGCCACCGTGGACGACGGGCGGGAGCGGGAGGCGGCGCAGGCGGACATGCAAGCCTGCGACCAGGCGCGGCGCCCCGCTGCTCCACCCGCTGCTGCTGCGTGATGGGGCCTGCAGGATGGGGCCTGGCCGTCGCGGCGGGCTGCCAGCTTTGGTCCTGCCCCAGCGTGCTGCCCGCTGCTGCCCCATCACCGTGTTCCTTGCTGCGGCGCCACCCACCTGCCTGCCTGCCGCCATGCCCTGCCCTGGCCTGCCCTGGCCTGCCTGCCTCCTCACCTCCCCCTGCCCGCCTCCCATCCTACTTGCAGGAAGCGGCTGGGTTGCAGGGCGAGATGCGGGAGCTGCAGGAGCAGCGGCAGGCCAAGCAGCATCACCTGGACGGCCTCAAGCGCCAGCAGGCCCGCATCGCCGACCAGGAGCGGGTGCTGGTTGAGCGGTGGGTGTGGCTGGCGGCCCGCCGGGTGGCTGGGGGTGGTGCTTGGGGGTGGGGTGACGGCTGGCCGGCTGGCTGCCGGGATGTCGGAGTGCTGGAGGCAAGCGGGAGGGCCGCCTGCCACACCTGCCTGGCCGCTCCCCTGGTTCTTTTGGTGTGCGCCCTGCCTGCTGGCTTGGCTTGCTGTTGCCGCGTGCCAGCCTGGGATTGGCTGGTTACCACTTGGCAGGCGCCCGCTTCCTCTGGGGGTTGAGGTGCTGGGGTTGTTGCCCACACCACGTGCTCCGTTGCTCGCTGCTGAGAAGAGCCAGCTCCCTGGCTGCTGCAGGCACCGCTCGATGCGCACCAAGCTGAAGAGCAAGCAGAGCGAGCTGGAGCGTCTGCGCAGGCAGCCCGGCCCGCGCAAGAAGGAGCCCAGGCTGCGGGTGGCGCTCCAAAAGGCTGGCGACCGAGCGTTCGCCAAGGCGAGGCGCGCCGCTGGCCGCCTGCCCTGCCCTGTTTGCCTGCCAGCAGCGCTGTGTGCCAGCCGGCCGGCCTGGCCGCCTGGCAATCGGGAGGGGCTGCTGCTGGCTGAGCGCTTTTTGTTGCCGGCTGCCACCCTCTGGCTGCCTGGCCAGCTCCCTCCCACACCGCCACCGGCACACGCATACAGAACGCACGCACGTGCACACCACCTCGCCTCGCAGGCCCTGGAGATGGCGGAGGTGCAGGCGGGGCAGGCGGAGCGGCTGCTGGGCTCAGCGGCCACCGACCTGGGCATCCGCGAGGCGGCGATGCAGGTGTGTGTGTGGTGTGTGTGTGTGTGTGTGGCTGTGTGTGGCTGTGTTGCATACGTGGGGATGGGGGCCACCATGGTGGATGGGCATGAGTATCTCCTCTTCCCTCTCCTCCTCCCTTCATCACCCTCGCCCTCACCCTCACCCTCACCCTGGCTGGCCCCACCCGCAGGTCGAGCACTTGGCCCAGGCCAGCCAGCGGCGCCAGGCGCAGCTGCGCGACCTGCAGAGCCAGGTGGACCGGCTGACGACGCTGTGCCGGATCAGTGCGGAGGAGTGCAGGCAAGGCTGCGGGGCGGCTGTGCCGGCGCGGCTGCGCAGGCCGGCGGCTCGGGCTGCCAACCGGTTGCTTGATTACACTTCGCAATTGTGCAACCAGGGCTGGCCTGGCCGGCTGGCGCCAGGGCTGCCTGCGTACCGTCCTCTGCTCGCGCCGCCCGACGCCGCCGGCCCCAACGCCGCCGGCCCCGCGCTCCCGGCGCGCAGGAAGCTCAAGGACCGCGCGGAGCAGGCGGCGCCGATGAGCGATGAGCTGGCGGCGGCGTGGGAGGCGGCGGCGCTGCCGGATGAGGAGGCCGGCCTGCAAGACCTCATCGCCGAGAAGGTGTGCTGGCTTGGCTTGGCGGGGAGGGGGTGGTGGTCGGTGGTGGAGTGCGCGTGAGTTGCGAGGGCGTGGGCGGGATTTGCCCTCTTACGCAGCGCGGCGCGTGCATGGCAGCCACCCCCTTGCACAGGCTGCGGCGGCATGGCCTTACCCGCACCTACCCTCACGCTGTGAGCACCGCTCTCCCACACTTGCACAACGCACCTTCTCCTGCCCTGCCCTGCCCTGTCCTCCAGACGGCGGAGTCCGACGGCATGCTGGTCCAGAACCCGGCGGCGCTGCGCCAGTACAACGAGCGGTGCCGCCAGATTGCGGAGCAGGAGCGGCAGCTGGCGGAGCTGGAGGAGAAGCGCCAGCTGGCGCGCCAGACGATCGACGACGTCACGGTGGGAGGGGGCAGGGGCTGCAGCTGCGCGTACGTGCCGCACAATCCCGCCGCTGCAAGCTGGCATGCTCCTCCGCCTCGCCCACACACCACCTGCCACACACCACCTGCCACACCCCACCCCAGCCACACCACACCACACCACACCACCTGCCACAACCCCACCCATTCACCACAACTCACACCGCGCCACCCAGCCGCCCCTCTGCTGCTGCCACCCCTCGCTGCAGAGCCGGTGGCTGCCCGCGCTGCAGCGCATCGTGTCCACCGTCAACGCCACCTTCTCCGCCAACTTCCGCACCGTGGGGTGCGCCGGGGACGTGGTACTGCACGAGGCGCCGGACGAGGACTTTGAGCACTACGCGATCGAGATCAGGTGTGTACCGCTGTCCCGCCGACATGGCCTTGCTGCGCTGTCGCACTGCTGGCGTAGCATCGTTGCACTGCCGTACTGCTCGGATGCGACCGTGCGTGCCCATCTGCCGCGGTGTCTCTGAGCAGGCTGCATGTGGGCTGGCAGTGTGCCAACCAGACATTGGGGCACGAAGTGTCTGTGCAGCACTGCCCAGCCCGCCACCTGGCCCCATTCACCCCATACCCCCACCCACCTGCCTGCTTCCCTTGCCTTGCCCCTCCCTCAATGCTTGCCCCCCAGGGTCAAGTTCCGGGACAGCGAGGAGCTGCAGACGCTGGACGCCAACCGCCAGAGCGGCGGCGAGCGCTCGGTGTCCACCATCCTCTACCTGATCGCGCTGCAGGTGGGCGGGACTGTGTGTGTGTGTGTGTGTGTGTGTGTGTGTGTGCCGCATGTGTGTGTGGCACAGCCACAGCCTGGTGCTCACCCACCCACCAGCCTGGTGTGGCGGGGGGGCAGCAGCATGGGCTGAATGCCTCACCCCTCACTGCCCTACCCCTCACTGCGGACCGCGCCTCTGCGCCCATGCCTGGGTGCAGGGCGTGACGGTGACCCCCTTCCGAGTGGTGGATGAGATCAACCAGGTGGGTGGCCGTTGTGCTGCTGCTGGTGGTGGTGGTTTGCTGGTGGTGGTGGCGGTGGTGGCGGTTGTCGTGGTGGGTGGCCAGTGTGGTTTGTGGGCGAGCAAGGAGGGCCGCCTTCACACTCAAAGCGCGCGGAGAGCCCCCAGATAGCTCGCCTTGCCGGGGCTGCATCGCGCGCGACGCCCACCCAGGATGTCTGCCTCCCATCACTTTTCGTGTCTGCCTGCCTGCGCACACGCACACACGTGCGCACACTCACACACAGCAGCAACATGCCCCTTACTACACACCGCCTGCTTCTTTCTGCCTGCCAGGGCATGGACCCTATCAACGAGCGCAAGGTCTTCATGCAGCTGGTGGACGCGGCCTGCAGGTGGGCGCGGACAGTGTGTGGTGGGAGGGTGGGTGGCGCATTGGCTGGCGCTGGCTGGCGGCTGGCGGCTGCATGTGGGGTCCTCGTCCTCACCCAGCCCGCCCAGCATAACACTCCAGACCGCCCATCCTGGCCCTCCGGTCCACCCACAGGCGCCTGTCCCGCCCCTTTCCATGCCGCCCCGCCCCCATTCCATCGTTCTCCCACCGCTCGCATCCCAACCTATTGTCGCAGGGCCGGCACACCCTGCACCGCTCCCTGCTCACCCCCCGTGCCGCTGCTCCCCCTGCCGCGGCTGTCGCAGGACAGGCACCCCACAGTGCTTCCTGCTCACCCCCAAGCTCCTGCCCGACCTGCCTTTCACTCGGGACGTCACCGTGCTCCAGATCATGAACGGAAACCACATCAAGGATGTGAGTGGGGGTGTGGTGCCAGCACGAGTGAACCACAGAGGGTGGTGGGTGGTGGTGGTGGTGTTGGTTGTGGAGTGTAAAATGTAGGGTCTGGGGATAGACAGACTGACAGGTGTGGCAGTGGACGCTGCCTCTGCGACTGCCTGAGCGCCGCCGCTGCCCCTGCCTGGCTGCGTGCAGGTGGCTGTGGGCTTCAAGATGGAGTCGCTGCTGGGCAGCCAGCGCGCGGCGCTGCTGGTCGCCGCATGAGGGGGGGAGCCTTGCGCCCCGGCGGCTTTGTCTTGGGGCCGCTGCAGAGGAGCAGACCAGCAGATTGGCGGCAGCTGCATAGCCACTGTCCGCTGCACGCGGACGGCAGCGCTGCCAGCTGAGCTGCCAGCCGAGCGCGTTGCAGTTGTGTGGCGTCAGTTCCTTCTTTCACGCCCCGGAGTCTGCTTACATGCATACAGAGGCTCCAGAGGGCGCGGCTTGCTGTTGGCAGCCACTGTAAGTTTGATCGGTGCAGCTGATGGGCAAGCCGCAGCAGCCGCCAGACGGCAGGGGCTGGCGGGATGGGAGAGGAGCAGGCACACATGGCCTGGTCGGCAGTAGCACCATCCTTCCTTGAAGCTGAGGGAAGCAGCTAGCAACAAACGTCTCTGTAGCAACCAGCCCACCTTTGGGAAGCAGCCCAGGCGCACCACTTCACCTTCCAGCGGTGCAAAACGCCAACGGTGCAGCAAGCCCTGGGGCATCCTGTTAGAAGCCAGCCAGCACTCTGACGCATTCTTTTTGCCAACTGGCGGCCCGCCTGCCGCTCAATTCCTGCATCCCTGCCCTGGTCTGGCACGAGCGCTGCCAGCCGCCTGCAACGAATGGCGGCCGAGGCGGGGTGGCTGGTGGGGCGGCTGGCGGAGGGGCAGCGCAAGCGGCTGCGGGCAGCGGCGCTCAGCCCGACGCGGGCGCAGTGGCAGAGCAACGCTATCCTGCAAGCGGCACTGGCAGCAGAGCTGCGGAGCTGCTCGTCTCAGCAGGCGCTGCTCGTTCAGCATGAAGGAGGCAAACGACTGCTGGCGGGGGCAGCGACCACAGTGGTATGTATATAGTGAGACAAGAGCAGGAATCAGGAGGCAACAGTCCAGGTGGCCAGCCTGCACGTAGACCAGCCTTGGAGGGTGAGGGGGGGAGCAGCTTGCGGGCAGCGGCTTCAGAGGCGGCGGCGGGAGGCGCGGGCGCTCCAGCGGCCCAGAGGCGGCGGCACCTTGATACTGGCTGATTTGCTTCCCTCTTGTCATCGTGTGATTTGGGCTGGGGCCAGGAGAGCAACAGGCTTCTTGCCAACAGCCAGTGTGCTGCGGCTAAGGCGCAGCACGAGTGCCAGTTTGTAGGCTCGTAGTGTCCAATTGTAGGCTCGCTAGTGTCCAGTTGGTTTAGCTCTCATCCACAGACCCCACTGTCTTCAGTACGTGGCCGCATGCTGGGAACACTCAGCTGCCTCCGCTGCCAGCCCGCAGTTCGGTCCCGGCCCACCGTAGGCCACACGCTCCACAGCGGCCGTGGGCGCCAGAGTGGCCGCCTGAGGGCTAGTAGCCAAAGGGCACAGCTGGAGCTTGAGGTGAAACTGCTTCGGCAGGCAGTCGATGCAGAGCGGCGTGCAGCGAACGAGGCGCGGCTGCGCGCCGACGAGGTGCGGCGGGCAGCGGACTTGCAGGAGCAGTCTCTGCGCACAGAGCTGGCGTTTGTGCGTGGCACCCTGAACATGCGGGGTGTAATAGGTGCGTGCTGACTGCTCCTTCCTTCGGGCGGGACAGCCAGGCCTAGTGCTGCAGGCGACTGCTGGGGGCCTGGGCCGGTTTGTGGCAGGCTACCTGCAGCTTGCTTGGCCCCAGGTTGCAGCCTTGCCCACAGTCAGAGTCGCTGCCTTACTTTGCACGGTGCAGAGGAGGCGGAGCGCGAGTTCAGAGCCGCGCTCACGTGCTCGGAACAGAAAGCCGCACAGACGCGCCGAGGCCGAGCAAAGACAGCCCCGCAGCCGCAGAGTCGCGCAGTTCTGTGGGAACTGCTGCTGGAACAGGAGGCGTCGCTGGCCCAGTGCTTTGAGGAGATGGGCTGGGCGCGCCAGGACGCGCCCAAGAAGATCGCTAAGCTGCACAAGCTGCTCAGCCAGCATGGACACAACGAGTTCCAGCTGTCCCCGCGACGAGTGGATATTGTGGTGAGTGTCACGGTCGGGGTACCGGCCATTCAGTCGTGCAGAGGCGCAACGACGGGTGTGTAGCGCAGCGTGTGGGTGGCAGCCCTATGTGGGCGCATTTTCCTTTCCACCGCCTCTACCCAGCGGTCGCATGTCTGCCGTTCCCCTCCTCATTGTGTGCTGCAGCGTGCTGAGAGATGCTGGCCTTGCTGCGCATGCATGCTTTGCTCAGTGCTGTGTACGACTCCTGCATCCCCGACGCAGGAGGGTGTGGTGGACAAGGAGCAGGCCCAAGCTCTGGCCTGCATCTGTGACTACCTGAAGCTGGACTGGCAAATCACGTCTCGTTATAGCACAAGCGAGGGCAGCGAGCAAGAGGAGTAGCCGCCACGCCGTGCAGCATGCAGCATCCACCTGACGCAAGCCCCAACCTGCTGGCCATGTATGAGTGCAGCATCTGCCTGGCGCAAGCTCCAACCTGCTGCCAGTTTGTGTCTCCTTTCCGCTCCATGCACCTCTTTTCTGGTCGTGCTTTGCTGTGCCATTTTGCTACGCCCTCTCCCCGCTCATGTTGTTGCCCCATTCCTGGACCTTGTACTTCTTCTGTTGCTGCCACTGTTGCTCCGCCGGCCCCTGGTTTCCCCTCTGTGGCCTTCCGCATCCCTGCCCGCTGGGCCTTTAACTCCCCTGCTGATGCGCATGTGGCGATCTACACCTCCTCATCCCATGCCTTGATCATTTCATCGACTGGAGGTAGTCTTCTTATGCACAGCTTTCACGTGTTGCTATGGAAGTATTGTTGGCCGCCAGCACCGAACGGCACAGTGTGGCCGCTCTGACGGCAGGCGCTGGTGGGAGGGGAGATGAGCAGGCACCTCCGGCCTGGCCAGCACGCAAGCACAATCCCTCCTTGCAGTTGGGGAAGCGGCTTAGGCACTCGCGTGGGACAACTGACGCAGGTGGCAGTAACAGGGGCGATGCGGGGGGCGGGCCTGCTGCGACTCAGCGCAGCGTGGCGCCCCTGGGCCTGCTCGCTCCCCCTCCTGAGCAGCTTGGAGTTGCTTGTGCTCCAACACACAGACAGCAGCGAGCAATACCTGGTCGGCTTGTGGCTGCTGTCGCCCTCCAGGTGCTCGCCTCGTTCCCCCAGGTGAACCTCCAGGCAGCAATGGCTGGGTGGGGAGGGCACCCACTTGCAGTGCTGCGAGGTGCAGGGGCGCTGCACCACTGGCGGTCAGGGCAGAGACCGCCGCCGCCACCCGCTGCCACCTGCGCAGTGCGACAGCAGGGCATTTCCCATTCTAGTCGGTTGACGTCATGGTGGAGCTGGCGGCCATACTCAGCCTAGCAGCTTACTCTGGAGACGAGGCGGCGGTGCGCCAGCTGCTGGCAAGAGGTGCCTGGCCGGATCACACCACCACGGAGGGCTTGAACCCGCTGCACATTGCAAGCTCCTGTGGCCATGCGGGGTTAGTGAGGCTGCTGCTGGAGGCTTCGCCAGTCACGGCGGCAACGGCAGACTCTGATGGGGGCACAGCACTTCACTATGCCGCACAGGGCTCTAGGAACAGCCCAACTGCGGCAGTCGTGCGCCTGCTGCTGGAGGCTGCCCCAGCCGCAGCTTTGGCGCCGGATGCCGTAGGCTTCACACCGCTTCACAGCACGGCCGACGCTGGAAACATTGAAGTGATGAAGATGCTGCTGACGGCGGCACCCGCTGCGGCGACAATGCTCAACACAAACAAGGAGGCCGCCATCCATCGCGCCACCTACCGCTGCAACCCAGCAGCCGTGCAGCTGCTGCTGGAGGCGGCGCCAGCGCTGGCTTTTGCGCCAGACGCGTGTGACGAAACGCCACTGCACCTGGCGCTGAGTGGGTACTGGATCACAACAGAGGCCAGGGAGACGGCTCGCTGCCTGCTGGGGGCGGCGCCAGCGGTGCAGCCAGCTCTTGACATCCTCCTACAGCACAGCCAGCGTTATGCCACCCTCTTTGCCGACCTGGCGGCCCGCCTGCCGCTCAGCCAGGATCAGTGGCGCTCAATTCCTGCGCCCTGCCCCGACCTGGCTCGGGCGCTGCCAGCCGTCCTGGGGCGATCTACGGCAGAGGCGGGGTGGCTGGTGGGGCGGCTGGCAGAGGGGCAGCGCAAGCGGCTGCGGGCAGCGGCGCTCGGCCTGGCACGGGCGCAGCGGGGTGTGCCGTCCCTTCCGGCAGAGCTGAGAGGGCGCATCCTGGCGCTGTGCCTGCTGTATTGACTGAATCACAAGATTGGCTGGACTCCCATACATCTGCTGTAAGCTGTACAGATAGGGCTTGAATGGTTCATGCCATATGATTGTGTGCACGGTGCAGTCGACCCCCCTTGCAATGTAGCTGCAAGGATATGCAGTGTGAAGTGGGTTGGTGCCCCTGGCCACCGCTGTGCGCCAGCTGCCCAGCACCATCCTGCGGTACCAGCGCCACCTGGCTGCCGCCGCGCCTCGGCCCCCCCCCGCCAGATCGCCAACGCGGAGCGTAGATCAACATTACAAGATGCCAAGCAGTGTCGCTGGGGCAGGCCAGCCAAAAGAGAAATACAGTAGCGGTTATGAATGAAAAATGGGGGCCGGGGATATGTCGGCAGGCCGCAGCTCCTCCAACACCAGCCGACTGCCAGCGAGCCGCCTCACTGCATCATGCGCTGCAGCACCAGGCTGACCAGCCGCTCGCTGCGCACACCCAGCGCCACACGCACCGGCGGCAGCCCCTGCCACTCGTTGCCGCCCACCCACGCCTTCTTGCCTGCGGCGCAGCGCAGCGGGCGCAGCCAGGGGAGCAGCCTTTACTTGCTCCTGCCAGCCCCGCGTTCATGCACACCTACGCCGCGCCCACCCACATGGTTGCACACACCACACACTCCACAACAGATGATTAAGACGACAGCACAATCCAAGTCCCAGCCACCCCGCCCACCTTCATCCCGTATCGTGCGCCCCTTGGCGGGCCCATCCGTCACCACCAGCACGCCGCCCGCGTGCCAGTCGAACAGCGTGGGGTCCAGCACGGCGGCCAGGGCAGCCGCATCGTGCACATACACCGCCTCCATGCCGTACACCTTCCTGCAGTACGGTACGGGCAATGGCATGGATAGGTGGTGTGGAAAGCGGTACACCCGGCAGTACAGCTTCTCTGTCTCTCGCAAGCAGCGCTGGCGGCAGGCGTTGGCGTCAGGTGAGCTGGGCCGAGCCCACAGCCAGCAAACATTGATTAACAGCCGGAGCGCCTTTGGCATGCCGCTGGGCAGGCGCCCTGCTCGCCTGTGGTAGCCCAGGTAGAACTGGGTGATGTCCCGCAGGAAGGTGCCGTGCCGCCCCCGCCCCGCCATCCCCTCAATCTGCCCCGCCGTCATGAGGCACTGGTGCGTCACATCCAGGCCCACCATCCAGCAGTTGGGCAGCCTGCGGGGGCGGGGGTGGGTTAAAGGGGGGGGGAGGAGGCCAGATGTGTGGGGGTGAGCGAGTGGCGGTAATGGCAGTCATAGGGGTGATGTGTGTGCGCGCAGAGGTGTGTGGACGTGTGCACGCCGGCACATTCAGGAGCCGTTCACGCGGCCGCCTTGTTGCCGAGCGCCCCGCGTGCGGCATCAAGCGGCCCCAGCTGCTGCTGCCGCCGCCGCCCTGCTGGCGCCAGGCCCTCCCCCACGCGCCTGCTGAGCACCACGTTGGCGGCGTCAGGGTCCCCGTAGATGTTGGCCTCCGCCGCCGGGTTGACGTTGCCGTTGCAGTGGAAGGCGCCGCCCAGGACGACCACGCGCGCCTGCGGGCAGGCCAGGCACAGCAGCAGGTAGGAACAGGCGCGCCGCGACCCACCTCCCACCACGATCACGCTCAGCATCAGGAGTTGCCCACACCGCCGCCATCGCCAAGTCAGCCCCTCCCTGCCACACGCTCACCCCACGCCACAGGCCACCCACACGAACCCACCCACCCACCCACACACAGTACACACGCACACGCACACAGTATACACGCAGTACACCCACCAGCTTCTCGGGCAGCTGCGGGTCCAGGTGCAGCGCCAGAGCCACGTTGGTCAGCGCCGCCAGCGCCAGCACCACCACCTGCCCCGGGTGGCGCCCCGCCATGCCTACGATGAACTCGGCCGCGCTGCCCGGGGCTGCGGCAGCCTGCGGTGGCAGGAGGCAGGCGGCGGAAGGAGGGAGTCGGGCGTGCGCGGCGGCATGCGCCAGGGGGCCCTGGGAAGCACGCACGCAGGAAGCAGCGGAGGCGGAAGCAGCGCAAACAAGGGTGTGCCCGGCCAGCTCCACGGCGGCCGCAGCCACCCCGCAGCCGCAGGCGAAACAGACGGCGCGGGCGCGTTGCGCAGTCCGTGCCTGCGCCAGCGGCGGGTTGGTGTTGCCGAAGCCGTCGCGGCCGTGCACAAAGTCGGCTATGCGCTCCTTGGCTGCCCCCCGCAGCGACTTGTGGGCCCCCTCCACCACAGGCACCTGCTGGGAGGGGAAGGTTCTAGGTGAGGGAAGTTGGCTGATGTGGAGAGATGGGTTGAAGGGAAAGGGGAGGCGCTGCGCTGGGCGGCTGCAGCGCTCGCACCGGCGCCCTCTGAGCACCCAGCGCGCCAGGCCCTGCAGCAAGCGCATGAATGCTGCAGCGGTGTGCCACGCACGTCGGGGCGGCCCGCCAGGTGGCAGAGGGTGAGGGCGTTACGGGTGGCCATGGCTGTTGGCACGTTGCCATAGATACTGGTCAGCCCAATCACCTCCACCTCTGGGCTGTTGAAGGCCGCCAGGATGGCCATGGAGTCATCTGGGGGCAGGTGGAAAGGGGCAGGGGGTCGGACAGGCAGCAGGGGTAGGCGGTAGGCGAGCGCGGCGGCGGCGGTGCAGGCCGGCGGCAGGTGCCGGGCGCCTGGCCCGGGGAGGCGGCGCCGCTGGTCCGCGCTTCATGGGGGCATCCGGCTCACCCACTCCCGGGTCCGTGTCGATAATGAGCTTGATTGGTGCCATGGGTGGCGCGGCAAGGTGTGGGCACTGGCTGTCGGGAGGCCCGTTCCCTTGGGGCAGAGGGCGCTCACCGCGCCGGCAATGAATCGAATGCGCAGGAAACGATGGGCTTGACCGCCCCTGAAGCGCATGCTGCGGCGGCAGGCCTGCGCGGCACCTCATCCGGCACCGCACGCCTCTCGTTACACCAGGCTCTGGGAGCGCCAGCAGGGTGCCAATCAATGATGCAGGGTCGCTGATCTGGGCTGATGCGAGCTGGCGCGCTGCCGCGGCCGCGGCCTACGGCTGCGGCACCCCCTGCGCCTCGCGCATGCGCCAGAGCTTGTGCCGCTCCGCCATCATTGGCACGATGCGGGTGCGCCGCCGCGGCTCCTCCTCCTCCTCGCGCAGCAACACCTGGCAAGGCGCCACAGCAGGCAGGGGGGAATCAGTCGAGGCTCCTCCAAGATCACCCCCGACCCGCCATCGGCGTTGGCAGCCAGCCTGCCTGCCCGCCTGCCTGCTCGCCTCGCCTCCTGGCCTCACCGTCAGGTGGCTGCGATACTTCAGCCGCTTGCCCGAACGGCCACGGCCGTGCATGGACGTGCGCTTCAGGTTCTGCCCCTTGCCCACCCACGCCTCGGCTGCACACAGGGTGGGATGGGAGTGGGGGTGTGCAGGTGTGGCTGTGCATGCATGTCGAGCATGTGCGTCGGGACATGCTCCGTGTGGCGACAGCCGCTGCAAGCCAGCCCCGGCCCCAGCGCTGCAGGCAACGCCGCGCCCCGCGCAGCCCGGGCAGCGCCTGCCGCTGCGGCGGCCCCGGGCGCTCCACCGTAACCCCAAACCCTCTGGAAACCCAAAGGAACGCCGCGGCCACGCACCCACGCGCAGCCGCTCCGCCTCCAGCCCCTGATTGTTGACCGCGTTGGCCTGCGCCGACAGCAACGCCTTCTCCACAAGCTTGGCCGACTTCTTGGGGCTCATGCGGCACTGCGCCGCGCGGCGCGGCACGGCACGCGGCACGGCACGGGTGAGCGCGGCACGGCGCGGTGCGGCGAGCGTGGCAGCCCAGGAGAGGGGCGAGCCGGCGAGTGCCAACGCCACAGGCAGGCAGGGAGGCAGGCAGGCAGGCAGGCAGGCAGGCCTGTTTCTGGCCATCAGCCGACCGCAGGGGGCGCACCCACCCCGCAGCGCTCGCCCCCAACACACGCAGGCAGACGTGCGCACGCACAACAGGCGCAGCCGCGGCCCACCTGGATGAGCGCGTCTTGAATGGGCAGCCCCCGCACCACCTTGGCAAAGTCGTTGAGCTTGTGGGGGCTGATGGAGATGCCGCGGGCGATGGCCCGCGCCAGGGTGGACACCTCGCCGCCCGCCAGCGAGACGGGGGCGGGGCCCAGCGGGGAGGCCCCCGCGGCGGCGGCGGCGGCGCCGCCCGCGGGCGTGGGCGCCTGCTGCAGTGGGTTCATGGCCGGGGAGGCACCCTCGGCGGCGGCGGGGAGGCCCAGGGAGGCGTGGAAGTGCTGCGGGGGTGGGGGCCAGGGCAGCACACAACGGGCGGGCAGGCGGATGAGGGACGTGGATGTCAGGGCGGCTGCTGAGGGCGGCGGCCACGCAGCGGCCCTGCAGCTCGCACAGCACGCGCCCTGCACAGCCGAGGCGCCAGCACTCACCCGCGCAAGCTGCCGTAGACCGCCTGCTGCCGCTGCCGCGTGGTGGCCGCCGCCGCCGCCGGCGCTCGCCGCCCACAGCAGCGCGCCCGCTCCCAGCTGCATCGCCGGGGGGGCTGCTAGCGCCGATGTGCTGGCCGCGTTGCAGAGGCTGAAGGCAGCCCTGCAGAGCTGCTGTAGGCTGCGGGCTGGGACCATGCTGCTCGATGTGTAGGGCCCGAACCCTGGTGCCTCTGTGGATTTGAAGAAGATACCTGGCAGATGGCAGGAGCTACTGGGTGAGTGGCTGAGGCTGAAGGCAGCCCTGCAGAGCTGCTGTAGGCTGCGGGCTGGGACCATGCTGCTCGATGTGTAGGGCCCGAACCCTGGTGCCTCTGTGGATTTGAAGAAGATACCTGGCAGATGGCAGGAGCTACTGGGTGAGTGGCTGAACGCAATGCCGCAGCAAGGTGGGGGGCAGGCTGCTGCCGGTGTCCGTGGCCTGGCTGCCTTGTGCTACAGTGAAAAGGTCTGGGAAGGCGATGGCAAGCATCAACTATGAAGTGCAAGTGCCAGCTCATCTGCATGACGCGTCAACTGGGGCTTGCAAAACGCCTGGATATGAGCCACCCACTGAGCGGGCATTGAATTACCTGGTCGTGATCCGCTGCCCCGCCTGGAGTGCGGTCCAAGCAAACCGCAACTGCAATTTGGTGGGTCAAGGCAGGAATGGTCGCTGCCGCAGTGGAACCAGGCACAGCGTCTAGCCCTCAGCCCAACGACATGCAGCCCGGCACGCAGAAGAGGGGGCCTGCCACGCCCGGCGCCGACCCCTCCCCACCTTCACCCTCCCCGGTTGCCGCCGACAGCCTGTCCCAGCTCTTCCGCCGGCAGCAGCGGTGAGTCGACGGGTGGGGCCGGAACCTGGCCAGCGCGTCTGTGCACCGTCCTGCCAACAATCCGCCGCTGCCTCCGCTCGATCCTTGCGGCTGCACCTTGCCCCCTCGCCCCTTGCAGCTACATCAACTACTTTTTCGACAACCTGGACTTTGGTCCCATCCAGCAGTTCTGCCAGGTGCGCTGCAGCCACACAAGCGGCCTCGCTATGGAGCGAGGCTCGCTGCCGCAAGCGTTGCACTGCGTCAGCTGTTGCACCACCCAGAGGCCCGCCGCGCCCCCGCAGGCCTGCCTGGACTGCAAGGGCGTGATCATCATCACGGGGGTGGGCAAGAGCGGGTTCATCGCGCAGAAGCTGTGCCAGACGCTGGTGTCCACAGGCACCAAGGCAGTCTTCCTCAGCCCGCAGGTCCGCTGGCGGAGCCCCTGGCCCGCCGCCTCAGCTGGCCGCCCCGCCATGGCCTCGCCCGCACCGCGCGGCCCTACCCAGCAGCGCCAGCCGCGTCCCGTCTGCCCAAACAGATCTCGCGCCACCTGCTGCGCCGGGGATGCCTGCGGCATTCCTCGTGACAGCGGCGCCGCCGGGGCGTGGCGCCGCCGCCCAGCCTGCTGCCCTCCGCGTTGTTGTGCCCGCCGCGTGCAGGACGCCCTGCACGGCGACATCGGCATCATCGGTCGGCAGGACCTGCTGGTCTGCTTCTCCAAGAGCGGCGCCACGGAGGAACTCATCCGTCTCGTGCCCTTTGCTCGGGTGCGCTGCCGCCCACCCCCCACCCTTCCCCCTTGTGCCCGCACCGCTGCCGCTGCGCATGCACCGCTGCCCTTCCGCCTGTGCCCATGCTCGCTGCGCAGCCTGCCGGCCGCTCCTGGCCCTCTCCGCACCGGCTCCCTGCCGTGTGTATGCCACCCGGACAGCCACCCACACAGCCTTGCACCCCACCTTCCCTCCACCCTACCCCCACCCACCCCACCCTCCTCGCAAGCACGTGCGCGCGCACACACGCACACACACGCCCACCCACCCACAGCCACCCGCCCCGCTCCCTCCGCGCAGGCCAAAGGCGCGCGCCTCGTCTCCATCACCTCCCAGCCCGGCAGCGAGCTGGAGGCGGTGTGCGACCTGGCGGTGCACCTGCCGCTGGAGCGAGAGCTGTGCCCCTTTGACCTGGCACCCGTCACCTCCACAGCCATACAGATGGTGTTTGGAGACACGGCAGCCATCGCGCTGATGCAGGTGTGTGTGGGTGGGTGGGTGGGTGGGTGGGTGGGTGGGTGGGTGGGGGGCGCGCGCGTAGGTGGCTGGGGGGGGGGGGGGGGGGGGGCCCC